CGCGCCGCCGCCCTCGGCTGCCGCGTGCCCCGCGCCGCGCCCAGGCGTCTCGTCCTCGGCGTGGCTCGGGCCGTCGCGCTCGTGCGGCAGCCCGAGGCCGCTCCTGGAATGGAGGCAGGGGGGCAGGGGGAAGAGGGGGGACGGACGGAGGAGACATGCGAGGAGGAGGAGGAGGAGAAGGAGGAGGAGGAGGAGGAGGAGGAGGAGGAGGAGGAAGAGGAGGAGGAGGAGAGGAGGAGGAGGAGGAGGAGGAGGAGGGAGAGGGCGGAGGAGGAGAGGAGGAGGAGGGGAGGAGGGAGGAGGAGGAGGAGGAGGAGGAGGGGAGGAAGGAGGAGGAGGAGGAGGAGGAGGAGGAGGGAGGAGGAGGAGGAGGAGGAGGAGGAGGGGGAGAAGGAGGAGGAGAGGAGGAGGAGGAGGAAGGGGAGGAGGAGGAGGAGGAGGAGAGGGAGGAGGAGGAGGAGGAGGAGGAGGAGGAGGAGGGGAAGAGGGGGGAAAATGATGTGATGATGATGATGATGATGATGAGGAGGAGGAGGAGGAGGAGGAGGAGGAGGAGGAGGAGGAAGAAGATGAGGAAGAAGAAAAGGACTTGAGGTAATACGGCTTTGGGGCGCCTCAGCACTGTTAGTGGGCCCAGTTTCCTGGAGTCACCACTCTGAAGGACACGGTGGCCAGAGGGTGCGAATGGCCGCGGGCTGTGGTCCAGACCGCACGGAACGAGGTCGTTCTGGGCCAGGAACCTGCCAGAGTCGCAGGAAGGCCGCAAGAGGGTCCCAAGATGGCGCCCAGGGCAGTCACATGATGGCTCACAAGTGAAGCCACCAACGTAGATCTGCATGTTGGAACCTGCCAGAGCAGCAGGACGGCCCCCAGAGGGTTCCAAGAGGCCCCAAGTCGGTCACAAGATTACCCACAAGTGGGATCTATAGCACAGACTTTCATTGGGAACAAGCCACTCCAGGGTATTTGGGGCCTCGCAGTCCAGGGGATGTGTCCACCCTAGTGTACAATTGGTGCAGTTGGATTTTGGTGCACAGCGGGCACACCATATGATTGTTTGATAGAATATGGGCGGGAAGCAAACGTCCGAATCCCACATGAGCGGCAATATTGGTGCAGCATGAAATACGGGTTACGCCTGCGAGCTACTTGACAGCCAGCGTGGGCCCCAACCAGTGTATTTCTAGCAATCTATGTTGTGTCATATGTGTGGTGCAATCTATGCGGTGAAATCAGTGCGGTGTAATCTATGTGCTGCAATCCAGATTGAACAATCTATGCTGTGCATTCTATGTGGTACAATCTATGGTGTCCAATCCATGTGGTGCAACACATGTGATCCAATGTGTGTGGTGCAAGCTACCTGGTGAAGTCTAGGTGATGCAGTCTGTGGTGCTATCTATGCTGTGCAATATATGTCGTTGAATCTATGTTGTGCACTCTGTGTGGTGCAATATCGGCTGAGTAAGCCATGTGGTGCAATCGATGCAGTTCAACATACGCTGTGCAAGCTACCTGGTGAAGTCTAGGTGATGCAGTCTGTGGTGCTATCTATGCTGTGCAATATATGTCGTTGAATCTATGTTGTGCACTCTGTGTGGTGCAATATCGGCTGAGTAAGCCATGTGGTGCAATCGATGCAGTTCAACATACGCTGTGCAAGCTACCTGGTGAAGTCTAGGTGATGCAGTCTGTGGTGCTATCTATGCTGTGCAATATATGTCGTTGAATCTATGTTGTGCAGTATAGATGGCAATTATGAGGTGCAATCCATTTCGTGCAAGCTGTGTGGTTGCAATCTAGGTGAAAGGATCTATGCGGGGCAATCTTTGTGTGCAAAATTTGAAACAGTAATCACTTGCTCAACTTGAACTGTCCTCTCCGTTGCTCCGGCAAAACATCCAACCCTCCACCCGCAACTTGTTTGCAAACAACTCTTAAGATTGAGTCGACGACACCGACCACAACGACGACGGACGACACCGACCGACGTCTCCGACGACTTGACGACGACACGACGCCGACGCCGACGACGACGAAGACGACGCGAGCGCCCGACGAAGGCAGACGACGAGGGAGGGGAGGGACGCGACGCGACAACGACGACAACGACGACAACAGACGAAGGAGGAGGGAGGACGGTGACGACGCGAACGACAACGAAGGAGGAAGGACGGCGACGCCGACGACGACAACGACGAGGGAGGAGGGAAGACGACGACGACAACGACGACGACGACGGCGACGACATAGGAGGGACGACGATGAGACGCCGACGACGGAAGACGACGACGACGTGGGAGGAGGAGGAAGGACGACCACGGCGACAACGACGATGGAAACGACCACGACGCCAAAGAGGACGACGACGACAAACAGGAGAAAAGACAGAGGACGACGTGGGCGACGACGACGACGACGCGGGAGGAGGGAGGACGGCGACGACGGGACGGAGACGCAAGAGCGCGCGCGCACGCTTTTGTTGAAAATCCGTGTTGCG